TCTTTTCTGTTCCAGCCATTTTTACTTTACTCACAATTGTACCCATGGGGGAATATAGGTAGTACAGTGAGAGAAGCACCTGGGAATGCAGTTTTGCTAAGACTATAGCTGGAGAGGAAAGGGAAAGACTGAAGTAGATCACTTAAACTCACAGCTTTCTAAAGCTGCTTTTAGTTAAGAAAAATAGGATATGAATGCATTTTTTAAATACCTTGGCGTAATATCAGTCCAAAGGGAATAAGCAACAATAAATTAGAAGAAGACTGAGACATGGAAGCGCAGCAATGAACAAACAAGAAAAGATATTCAAGCCTACGGATACTGAACACTAAGGCCAAGATCATCCACACTAATATTTTAACAATCAATATGCATGGATATGAAAGCTGGGCAGTGAAGAAAGTTCACAGGAAAAAAAAAATACATACATCCAACTGACACGGTTCTTGACTTTGTGAGTACCCTGAACTGATAGAATGACAAGAAGTGGCTCTTAGATCAAATTGAGTAAGAAATCTCCTTGGAAGCCAAAATGACTGTTGTACTCCAGACAGATCATGAGAAGACTGGAGTGTCTGGAGAAGATAATACTGCTAGGGAAAGTCAAAGGAAGATGAGAATCTGGCTGGGTGGAGAAAAATGAAGATGAGGACAATCAAAGACGAAATGGCTCAATTTCATAAAGGAAGCCACACCCTTGAGTTTACAAAAACTGAGCAGGACTGTCAAAGACAGGCCATTTGGAAGACATTCATAAATTGGGAATGACAAGACAGCAGGTGTTCTTGTTTACTCACAAAGTCATGCCCGACCCATCTCGATCCCATGGACAACATTCCTTCATGTTCTCCTCCTCCACCATCCCTCTTAGCCATGGGGTTTTCATGGCAGGGATACTGGCAGTAGGGGTTGCTATTTCCTTCTCCAGTGCATCACCTTTTGTCAGAGCTCTCTGCTATGACCAGTCTGTCTTGGATGCCCCTGCATGGCATAGCTCATAACTTCATTGTGTTTTGCAAGCCCCTTCATCATGGCATGGCGGTGATCCATGAAGGAGAAGACAGCAGGAAACAACAGCCAATATGCATGTGTGCCCACACGCCATCATCTAACCTGCTAGAGTCACTTCAATCACTCTGAGTCTGTGAAGTTGTGATGGCTACTGCAAATTATGCCAGGAACAATTAATATAGATTATCTTATGGGATGCTATCACTCATGTAGTTTTAAGCCAATATAACCAACATGGATAGGGACTGCAGGTGGCACAGTGGTTTAAACCACTGTGCTGCTGGGCTGGTTGATCGAAAGGTTGCTGGTTCAAATCTGCACAACAGGGTGAGTTCCTGTTGCTCTGTCCCAGCTCCTGCCAACCTTGCAGTTTGAAAGCATGCAAATGCAAGTAGATAAAAAGGTACCACTTCGGTGGTCAGGTAACAGCGTTCTGTGCACCTCGGTGTTTAGTCATGCCGGCCACTTGACCACAGAGACTGTCTGTGGACAAACGCTGGCTCCCTTGGCTAGGAAACGGAGATGAGCACCGCCCCCTAGAGTCAGGTATGACTGGATGTAACGTCAAGGGGAAACCTTTACCTTTACCTTTTAACCAACATGGATGGTTATCCAAAACATCTGGAACACCACAACCACAGATCTCTCACAACAACCAAGTATTAAACATTCTTATGGCTAGATATGGTAGGTATGAATTTACAGTACATAGAAACTGGGACCGAAAAGATGTCAGGAATGAAAAAATATTTAATATGAATGCATATTAAAGCAGACTGTTAGAACAATGAAAACAATTATAACGGGAGTATCTGGTTATAGCATGTTATATTTACACTCCAAGTGAAATTAATCATATCCCTCTTATTCAAATGAATGCACATATATTAAAAGTGCACATGTTAACATCAATATTTTTTCTAATTAATGGACTAATACTTGAAGCATCATCACATTAGAGCCGCAATTTTGAAATGACTTAAATACACATCACATTTGCTTCTACAATTAAATAGGGAATGTAAAAGGGTTGTTTGTTGCTTGCTTTTCAGCTTGGAAAATAAGAACTCAATTTAATTTTAAGGGATGGGGGAACAGATGGGATTAACACAAACAAAATTCCCCCAAACTGCCAGACCCCCTAGTTTAATTTTTAAAACTAGAGCAGGACACCCAATAAATAGTGTGCAAAAGTGATTCACAAATTGGTTGTAGGACACTCCAGCAAGCAATATATAGTACAACATATAATGGTGAATAAGCTTCCTTGAAAGACAGCTAGTCCATAAATGCTACACCAGTATGTAGTCACAAGAGACATTCATGGGTTACACACAGCAGCAGTGAAGCCCAACAAGTCTGGCCAGCAGACTGCATTAAATGATTCACTTAACTCAGGACCATGCTCCAGAATCCTCTGCCACCTGCTGGGCCAATCAATATACAGTGGTGCATGGTTACTGAATTAAATTAAATTAAATTGCACTTGCACAAGCTACTTGGGTGCAGCTCCAGTGCAGCATGAACTACTCAAATGCAGGAAAGTGGGTACCCACTAACACTCCCGGTGCTAAATTAGAGCAGTTCACACTATCACAGTGGAATTTACAACAGTGATCACATTCTGCCCCTGGTTGCATCATTCCATGGCAGGTATTAGGGGTTACTTGAAGGCCAGGTTGAGATTGGCAATGTTCCTTGAGAGGAGGAAGTTTGCAATTAGCACCTGAATAAATGTTATCCTATTCTCTGAATGTTGATGTAGGTACCTCCCAGATGGTTGGTGAAAAGTTTACCATATATCTTATAACTTATTATACTTGATTTCAGTATTTAAGACCCAGTAGTTGATGTCTGCAACGGCTATTAATAATACCAAATTCAATGATACTTAATAAAACCTGCAAAATTTTGCAATCCTGCGAAATTGCAATTAAAAACTCTCAGTCCTATATAAGCAACATTTAAAATTATATGAAATCATACAAAAGCACACACTTAACACTAAACAAAACTTATTAATGTATTGGAAGCAAGAATTCAAAATTGAAACCAGATTAACTTTTAGCCCGACATCAGTTTGTTCCAATACTATTTGGCTCCCATCTTCCTGAGCAGCTTCTCTGGAGATTAAAATGTGTATAATGATATGGATACTCTAATAGTTGACTGGACCACTTCTTTAACATAGCTGGGTGCAAATGGCCTCTCAAAATTCTCTACCTCATTTATTGGATGCAGGTAACTATTTCATCAAATTTCACTAGAAGGAGGGGAAATTATCCAACAATTTCTGCAGTATGAGGCTCACTATCACCAATAGCTGAGCACAGCTCCCCCCCCCCATTTTTTTTCCTTCAAATGTTTTTCTTTCGGTGTTGTCCCTTGAAGTGGCAATGACAGCAACTATGTTGCATTTTCCACTGTGCCTCATACTTAGCATTGTTCTGGGAGTGGGGAAGTGGCCACCGGAAATTCTGCAAAAAGATGTTCAATTCTTGGGGTGGGGGTAAGAAAAAGCAACAGAAAATCAGAACTTGATGGAAGACATGCTGGCTCAGCTCTTGCTGTCATTCCTCTGGTTCAATACCTTCCCCAAATTTCTGAAGACTGGTTGTGAATCTCTCTTGTCCTTAGTGCATCTTTTTATAATATTGCTCTTCCCCTTCAAACCTTTCAGCGGGAGAGGAAGTGCCCAGGGAGGAAGCAGAGCTAGAGTTGTGCCAAAACCTGTCTGGTGGTTTTGTTCACCCATCCAACAGGATTCCATTTTGCTTCATGTTCTGAATCCTTTTGGCAGCACCTTGGCATTGCGAAGTAGCCAAGTGGGCTGCATGAATTTTTGTTCTTCTTTTGTTTTAGACACCCCTCTATTATACAGCAAACTTCCTGGCTGCCTGCGCTGCCTGATCTGGAAAAGGCCTCAACTGGGAAAAGTTACTTCATGACATGTTCCTCTGGCCTTCATTTGATGTGTGGGAAGCTGAGGAGGCTGCAGGCAGCTGTAGTGATCGTTGTTCACTGAAAGACGGTTAATCGACACACTCTTTTCAGCATCAAAAGTTAAGTAAGCATAAGAATCTCAGATACCACCCATGAGGATTTAACTGAAATATTCTTTCTTGAACATATCTCAGCAATAATTTATTTTCTATAACATGGAATGAGAATAGTCAAAAAGGATGCAAGAAATTCATATATAGTCTTTGATCAATCTTTTGAATATGGTTATACATGTGACTGATTGTCATTTTCCTAAGTTTGGCAGAAAGGGACTCATTTAAATTGACTGGGCAATCAAGCACTTCTCAGTTATACCTTCCTATACATTGTATAAGGTACTGAAGCCAATGCTAAAATACAAACTCAGTCCAGATGTGGCACAGTTGGTCATTACTGCTTTGAACTGAGAGAAAACACCAAACATTCAACCAGTACATAATGCAAAAGGTAATAATCAGTAGTAGTGCATAAAGCTGTCACCTGGGAAAGTTTTTTTTTTCTTTAAGGATAGCTGAAAGTTCTTTGGAAGAGATTTTAAAAGTCTCTGACGTGTTGGCAATATTTAATGACTAGTGAGTAGGAAAAGTCAAATATTAGACCATGACTATTAATGATAGTCTAATCATTTCAGAGCTGAGAACTAGAAGATATCAGGAGATGCTAATAAACATAAAGCATTTAAATACTGGATTTTAAGGTTAAAATATATCCACATTTTGAATATCCTGCCAGAAACTGGTAAATGCTGAACATTTGTAAATATTATTACACAATAACTTCAATTATCTGTTTACCAGTGAGAATTATTCACTATTTTTATTTACTAATTTAATAATATTCATACTTTTTCCTCAAAAAAATCAATACATCTGCTTGTAAGGTGATTGCATTTTTGTATCAACAATCACAAAGTCCACAAAAGCTGTTTGAAAAGCATTGAATGAACTATATTAATCATAGTGCAAATATATGAGCTATTTTCTTACCTTCTCCAATTTTGATAGCGCAAGAGAATAACAGTCTTTGGCCCTGAACTGCATGAATCTCATGTTGGCTGGATGCGTTAATTCTGTGATAATGCTTAGACTGGAGAATAACCTAAACGTTTTGCAAGGAGATAATAGCATTATTCCTACAATAATGTCAGACAACTAAGATAAAAGATGATAACACATAGAGAACCATTTGGACTTTTATAGTTGCAAAGAAATGCTAACTTTTGGTAGAAGCAAACATACCAGTATTACCAGATCAATATCCTGCAGATATTTCAAGACTCAAAGGGAGTCAATAAGTTAATTTCTAAAAGGTGCCTTGTACAATATTTAATATTCCAGGTGAACCATTGAACAGTAATTACTTTAGCTGTGGGGTTGATGGCTTATTCTCAAAAATGGGACAGTTATTCAGGAAAAAGATAAAACCCAGAGAAACCAATATACGGATTATCTTGTAAAACCTGTAAAGTCTATCAAGGAAATAGCTTTCCCAATGTGCAACATTACAGCTGTATTGAGAATTTAAACTATACCCGTAATTCATGTAAGATTGAGAAAATGGTGATTCCATTCCAATCAATAGCAACATTCCCAGCACTTTAACACAACGCAAGAAATTGAACAACTTTTCCACAACTTTTAGAATTAAAGCCAGTTTCCTGCTTTTCAATAGAAGTTGTTTCATTGCTCTGGAATTAGCAATCCAAAATATTTCAAGGACATACAGCATTGTACCTTATTAGCAGCACTTATTTAAACATTTGTATTTCCACATGTTCATTTCTATTCCTCCTTTTAGGGCACTGTCCTAAACATTTTGGAAAAGTCTGATTTTGCCAAAAAAACAGGGTGAGTTCAGTCATAACCTGAAAATCTGCCATGGATTTTAAACCGCGAAGACATAAAAGTAGCTGCAGCTTTAATCTCTTCCTTTCCCTGGACCCCCATGCATAAATGCAAAGTATTCCTTGCATCAAAGAATGCTGCCAGATTGAAGCCAGACAGGAAAACATAGCCGTCTATACTGCCCATCTGTAATTCTACAGAAACAGGTTAACCTAACGACAATGTTGTGGACTTGAGATCCAAACTAGATTACTATCTGATTAATTTTATCCCTCCGCCCTGCTTCAACTTGGCTTTCAAATTTCACCTGCCTTTTGAATTTCACCTGCTTGCATCATAAATAGACTGGTTTAAGTATTTCAGTGTATTCCAAGCTGCAGATTTTGGAGAAGATGTGACAATACATTAACAAACAAAACAAAACTGGATGGTCACAGTGTGTGAAGAGTGTGAGGAAGTAAAACTTGAAAGAATGCAAATTGATCAGATGTTCCACTGTAGTGACATTGCATATGGTGCCCATAAAGAAAAGAATATAGAAACAGAGTGAGTCAGAAGGGGTCTTCTGGGCCACCTAGTCTGACCCCCAGTTCCAGCAGTCTCCATTCATGACATGCCTACCATGTGCATGTCCAGCCTATCCTTAAACACCCTCACCACTGGGGCTTCAACCACCTCCCGTGGAAGCCTATTCCATACTCTAGGAGTCCTAACCAGCAGGAAGTACTTCCTGGCATTCACCCTAAATCTTGGTTCCCTGAACTTTGCTCCATTGGAACGCATCCTGCCCTCCACTGAGGGGAAAAAAGGTCATAACCCACCTCTGTGAGGCAACCCCTCACGTACTTGTTTGTGGCTAACAGGTTCCCTCTGAGTCTCCTCCTCTCACGGCTGAAAAGACCCAGCTCCCTCAGTCTCTCCTCATATGGCTTACCCTGCAACTCAGCCACCATCCTAGTGGCCCTTCTCTGCACTGATTCCAACCTTAGTATGTCAAGATAGCAATCTTGAATTATACTAAAATATAATTTTAGTTTAATGCCTGGATTGATGCTCGATTGGTCCCTGGCTGGGCCAGAGATTCTGGCTGCTGGCTAGTGGGGTGGGTGATTTGCAATTGTAGGCTACTTGATGATAATGAATGGTCTCATATTAATTCTTTGTATTGCTGTTATTTAGAATTTTTTATAAATTCTGTCAATTGTTGTGTTTATTGCATCATGTAGCTGTTCTGATTTTGTCTTGTTTTGAACTCTTGTATTTTGTTTTATATTGTTTTATATTATATTTTAGTGTCTCATGTATATTGCATTAATGCATTTGTAAACTGTCCTGATAACCTTTTATGGTTAAGTAATGGAATAGAAATGTAATGTTGTTGTTGTTGTTGTTGTTGTTGTTAGGGTTGGTATCTAAAGATCCCATCTCACTATGTACCCTGCCCAACATTCAGAGTCCACTACTGAATACATCCCAGCTGTTATCTCTGATTTCAGATCAGAGACAAAGCAAGATTCTTCCAGAAGCAGTTCCTCCAGGGAGTGGAAAAACTTCCATGTACCACCCATTGGAAAGATCCAAGGAGGCATCTGGATGCAAAATTGCCATAGGCTAAATTAGGCTTGGAGATCAGAGGTTCTGCATCCCTGCTTTAGGTAAAATGTGTTTCCATTGGCTTCTCTGGCAACTGAAGAGGACAGTTATCTTGTGTTGGCCTGACACAGAGTGTCTTTCATACTGCAGGGCCTGGCAACATAGCCTGTCAGAAATAAAAGTAGTGGGAATACAAAGCATTATGTGTCGTATTCGCAAGATGATGGAGATGCCAATCTAAGAGCCAGAACCCTGAAAGCATGAAAATACATCCAGTAAGTCTCCATCACGCTAACTCTAAACATAACACTCCATAGATTAGCTAAGGCTGCACTCTTGTGTACAAACTAGAAATGCTACACAGGCATTAAGAACAGGATAGCTATAAACCCGGATCTTACTTGGGGTTTGTCTTACTACTGTTGCCACTCTGATGTGGACATCTTGGGAGCTGCCTAGCCTATTAGGTGAATTCTTTACCCAAGCAAGTTCTATCTCACTTGTCAAATAATACACCCTCAAAGAAGTTGACTACATTTGGGATGCAATTCTATACACATCCACCAGGGACTCCCTTATTGAGCTTAATGAGGCTTACTGTGTCAATCCGGAATCCAGCCAATTCTTACATTTCAACCTGTCTACAATTCTGTTCTACCAGGTAATTTAAATCTAAAAGCCAACACTCCTCTGGGCCTGGCCTAGTAAGTGTTTCTGTGTTTGAAATCTAATCTGGTCTGGTTTCTTTCCCCAGCTTTGCAGTTCTTTCAATTTATGGGAGAGGAACAGTTTGAGCAAATAAGGAGAAGGGCTGGCTAATAGCATAAACGTTCTAAGGTCCTTTGCAGAAGAACCCTGGATAGGAAGGATACTAAAACTGGCTATAGCTTCACCTATCTCCTATTGTTCAGTGGAAGCATAGAAGGGGTGCTCTGATTAGCCACGTTTTGAGAGGTATATGTAGGGCTTCATGCTTTTTCATGTGTGTGTGCGGGCATGCATGCATGAGCATGTACATTTCTGTGCTCATTTTTAAAATATAGGCATTTTCAAGTATTTTACATTGTATCTGCAGACAGAATCCTCTAATATGTACATTTTTGTATATATTTTTCCCAGTGCATTGTACCACCAAGCCCAGAAAAGTGTGAATTTTTATAGACAGTTATGGCTCAATTCACTTATTGGCTTAGGTGGTGGGAATTAGGTACCTTTGCTTAAAAATCACAGCAGAATGAATTTCTTACTCTTCCCTATATGAAAAAGATTATGGTGGTCCTTGGGCAAGAGTGAAGTAAGTATGTACTTAACTGCATCCTACTTCCAAGGATATACTTCTCCTTATAATCTTATTGCTAGCAATTAATGCCGAAGTCAAGATCATAGAATTAGAATCATAGAATCAATAGAAGAATCATAGAATCATAGAGCTGCAAGAAGCCAAGAAGGCCTTCAGCTCCAACCTGAAGCTGTCTCCAGTATTTTATGTATTTTGTACAGAAATATATTTATTTATGTATTGGAAGCCACCCCGAGGCTTATGCGAATGGGGCGGCATACAAGTGTTCCAAATAAATAAAATCAATAAATAAACCTCCTGCTGTCACCAATTTACTCCACCCCACTCAGATGGTTGTCCAGTTTTGCCTTGAATGTCTCTAGTGTGGGAGAGCCCTCCACCTCTCCAGGCAACTGGTTCCACTGCCATATTGCTCTGACAGTGAAGAAACTTTTCCTGATATCTAGTCTGAATCTGGGTTATTGCAACTTGAATTGATGCTTCCATGTCCTACACTCTGGTATCAAAGGAGTTCTGCAACAACCCCTCAGCAGCACTCAGTTGGTCAATTAGATTTTGAAATTAAATTCATTTTATAATGAATGCAATTTAGATTAATTTGTCATGCATCTTTGCATGATCCTCTAAGTATCAAAACAACACTTCTAATCATCCCCCTACCTTTGCATTTTGAGATGACAATTTCCCAATGGTTAAAATTAGATCCCTCTAATTAGTCCATTATAAAAAGTGATTTTCATAGCCGAGAGTATTCTCAGACTTTATTCCTAGATAAAAATGGAGTAAATCCACAAAAATTGGAGTAAATCTACAAAAGATTTTAGATATGCAGTTTTTCTGCATTTATTAACAATGTTTCACTAAATTTTTGCATTTACATTACAAAATTGCTAATATGTTTTTGTTTTAAAGGAAGAACCAATTGACTTGAACTAAACTATTATATGTATGCAATGTTTCCATCATTTAAAGAAGACAAAACACATACACATTTTCTTATGTCCTTGCAAGTATTTAACACTTAATGCCAATACTGCAGACATGGGAAAAGGCTGCCATCTAGTGAGTGTATGCGATAGCCAAAGATGAACTAGTTTGAGCTAACTATAATAATTATAAGTGATAATCAAGACTGCAAATGCATTTGTGTTAAGTATGTATAATTTTGATTGCCAGTTTCTTTTCTGGTTTATGAAAGTTGGCTTTAATTTATATTTCTTCTTCATCCTTTGGATATCCCTATAGTGATTTTAAAACCTGTACTCTTTTAAGTAGGAAACAATAAGGGAAAGGGAAAGGGAAAGGGAAAGGGAAAGGGAAAGGGAAAGGGAAAGGAAGGAATGTTGGAGGGAGGGAGGGAGACCTAACTGTGGATAACTGCAAATGAATGGCCAGGAAGAAAAAATAGAAGTGATTATGAGTTCAATAATAGAACTACTGGCAAGTGTTTTCATCACAGTTAATCTTCAGAGTACAGATCATGGTAGGACACCAAGAAAAAATGTGCTTGTAGGAGTAAAAAATCCAAAGGGCCATTCATCCGACTAATTTCCCTGCCACCTCAGAGAAAACACTAATGGAAGAGAATCCATGTGACTTCTCACTATGGTTCCATCAGCAATTTTTAGAACCTGGCCTTAACAGCCTTATGCTGCTCTCTTTAGGCAGGCTGAGTATATTACCTCTGCTGTGAATCACACAATTTCTCTTCCCCCTGCCCCACTCCATCTTTCATTCCATGCTTACAGCTGATACTTCATGACAACAACTTTTTGCCAACCCTGATTTAAACAAAAGTCCAAACAAGCCTCTCTGTGCATGTTTGGCTCTATGTTTAAAGTTCACTAATACCATAGCACCATCCTGGTCCTGAAATAAACAGAGGCAGCGCTCGATGTGCTCTCCCACTGGGGTGGCCATTTATTCCCATATAGCTCTCTTATAGCTTCTGCATAGCCTGAAGTGCCCAATCCTGCCTAATTTGGAAGCTAAGCAGGATCAGTCCTGGTTAGTATTTGAACCGTGAGTCCTGCATTGAATAGGAGGTTGGACCTGATGACCTTCTAGGCCCCTTCCAACTGCATGTTTCTGTTCTATTCCCCACCAGGTCCCTTCCCTGTCCAGTCCTAGCTGCACCACTGGCTATATGTGCGTTTTCTGGGTTTCAGCTCTGTCTTTTCAATCCCAGTGGAGAATTGCAGCCCCCAAACAATCCAGGCACTCCTAAGCTATGTGGCTGCATCCTCTGCATTGCACAGAAGTGCCTTCTGCCACTGCTCTTTCTTATGGAACTCGCAGACTTTGCCTGTTTTCCTACGGGTTGAAAGCCCTGTACACCTCCGTCCAAAAGCAGTGTCTGTCCAATGGTTCCTCCTGCACACAGGAAGAGGAGAAGGGAAAAGCAACTGCTGCACCATAAGAAGGAAGTGAGAAGGAGGTGAAGCAACAGAAGAGGATGAGGACACAGGAGCAAGTCATGGCTGGTGAAGGCCACAGAGAAATTACCTCTGGGTTTTGGCCAGCTTAAGAATTCAGATGAGCGGGAGAAGGATTTTGGTAGAAGGACTGCAGTGCCTACAAGCTTTAACGAATTTCAGGTCATGACTGTGGAGCAGTCTCTACACCTTCTGTTGTTGTACTATTAAATTGTGTCCATCCGAACCCAGAGTAACTACCCTCCTTAAACTTAGGGCCTGTTGCATGAATGAGCTCTTCCATTCCATGTGCAAATGCTGACCAAACAGGCAGCTGCATTTCTCATCAACAACACTGATGGGCCAGCATCTTCCACTCCATCTGATGGCCACAAGCTAGCTCAGGAAGAACTGTGGTTTTCATAGAGGGCGTTCTTCAGATTAAACACATTCTTTCCCCCTGACCTTGCAGAAGTAGGATAGCTGGAAACAGCAGGCTTGAGCATCTGTTTTCATCCCAGCAAAACAAGAGTGGGGAGGTAGAGGAGAGAAGGGGAGGGATAATTATGGGTGGTGGTGGAAAAGCTTGCTCAGGACATGGGAAATGATATGGAAGGGGAGCAAATTGTTCATTCCTGAATGTATTTTTATTCCTTTAACATGCTTACTGACAAGGAGTGTGAGAAATGCTTATAGGAATTTCTCGGTAGTTACCAAAATAAAACAATAATAGACTGGTCTTTGGTTCTAGGCACAAAATTGGCTTTGGCATGTGTCTAGGGCAGTCTTGCAGACTACATATTACTCCTGGGAAACTAGTATTTCACAGCTAGGAGTTTCCACACAAAGTCTAGTACACAGTGTGTTTGCCTGCTTTGAATACCATGAGTTCAGTAGAGAAGGAAGGTTTACAGTTATGAGGAAAAGAGTGTTGGGATGCCAAGACCTCTCTTGTACTGCCTGACATCTTAGCTGTTTTGATGAATGCTCAAACATATATCTTCACCCAACTCCAGAGTTTCACTAGACCTCCTTGGACCCACTGGTGAGATATTTGGACCAGTTTAATGTGCCTTGCACTTTCACACCTAACCATTCTGTATGCTCTGATATCATGGGAAAACCTTTACTTTCTTGTAAACCTCCCAGAGAGCTTCAGCTACAGGCGGTATAGAAATGAAATAAAAAATAAAAATAACCAACTTTTTTATTTAGAGCGGCTGTTTAAATAAGGCTGTCAATGATTTTGATTCACCCTGATGGGGACTTTAACGACTACAGTGCCTAGTAAAGGTGCAGGAAAAGGGTGTAGCTGCACCTTCACTTACCTAAAAAGAGTTTGGACATTTACAATCGTCTTTGCATCTGCCATGTAGTCTTCTTCAGCACTCATAGTACTTTCTTTATCCACCACGACCATGTTTGCAGCAAAGGTCACCCCACACTTTAGCAAATCATCTAGGCTTTGGTAAACAGAACACAAGCAAAGTCAGAAATACGTACCTTGGTCATACATTTGGGGAACAATTTACAATGCTTAGGAATTTAGAAGTCTTGTAGCCAATTTATGACTGTATGGTTGTTCCTACTGCCTTGTGCTTGCTGGTTTCTTGTCTTAGTTGTGGAAAGTGATTGCACATACTACGGCAACTCAGGGGACTCAATCTTTGTTGCCTCTTGGAATGCAAGTTTGCAGGGACATATGCAAGTGGGAAGCAGGGAACTAAGGAATGGAGCTTTTCAACTAGTTTGCAAATGGTTACCATTGGGCACATGATTCAGTCCCTTGGAAAATCAACACATACATGAACCTGGTTTGCCTTAACCATGCATAACAAACTGAAAGCCATCCTCAGGAGTGTGTATTTCTTTCTGGTCACTCATCTCCCAATAACAAATCCCTAAACTACTCCCACTCTTAACTATGGTTACCTTTAGTAGTCACAAACTGTTTAACAGGTAAGTAATAGTGCAAACATATGGATATTCAGTTCAATGGGACATACTCTTAGGTAACCATGTATAGCATGGCTTAGCACATATGCAAGTGTCCATCAAAAGTGATTTTGCTTTAAAACAGGGGAAATACTCACTGCACATCTTGTTTTAAAGAAAAATGGTTGAGTAGGCAATGGTTTCCCATTTCTACCACCATCACACCACATTTGTGATGGCAAATTTGATGGTGTAGTGGAGTTATGGGGAGGGTACAGCCCAGAAGGGAAAAGGTGGTCGCTGGATCAGCTGGCATTGCCTACCATGGCCACAAAGGACTGCAGTCCAAGGCTTCCTTTAAGCCAGGAACTGAAACTCACTGCAAAATAATATTTTAGATTCTGATAAAATGAGTATCTTATTTAATCCAGCTAACATTAGTGCCAATACAATGTTCAACAATCAGCAATGCAGAAAGAAGAAAATTTGCTTCAAGGAGAGGAAGAGAAAGCTGGAAGGAAAAAAAACCACATTCCAGTGCTGAGAACCAATTGCTAACCTATCAAAAGCAGGTACTAGCCCAGTATGATTAATATCCTTGAGTTAACTGCTCTTCTGAACAATATTACTGACCTTATTGCTAAAACAGTAATGGTCAACTGAAAAATGAGCATATGAGGATTGCTACTACTTGCACTGTCTGTGCAGGTCACTCGCTACAGCTAGACCAACCACCAGTGGTCAGAAGGGAAAGTGGACTGGGATGCGAGTGCCTCCTAGCCATGAAGTAACCACCAGGGATGGCTTTCTCTTCACTTAGCTTGAAGTGCACTGCCCAAGTCTAGAGGAAACTGCCCACTGGTGACCACTCCACTCTGAGCTATTCCAGAAGTGCCCTCTTTTGCCAGTGTTTTCTCAGTTGTGTCTGTACACTTGCCTTTAAAAATGCCTTCCCAAAAAGCCACATATTTAACAATCATCACCACTGGGGTGGTATGGAGTCCTTCCACACACATGTTGTCGTTTATGCACTTATACCAATTTAGAAATGAGCTCAGTATTTGCCATACATAAACTGTTGGAATTATCATCCTTCTGGTGAACATATCATGTTCTTTGCTGTTAGAGGATTAAGTTTGCAAAGGCTATGAATGAAGTGTCTGCCAAATGAGACAGTGGCTTGGAAAATCAATGCCATTATATACTTGGACACAGGAACATCAAATGGGCAATTTTGCATATGATCGATTCAGATGGACTGATTTCACTATGTTGAACTGGTCTTGTGGGTGGATGTTCCTTATGCCATGTTTCTTTTGCATTTATTTATTTATTCGTAATATTTATATACTGCTTCTCATTTGTAACAAATATTGAAGTGATTTAAAGCAGAAAAATAAAACACAGAGGGATAAAAACAGGCAGAAAAATATCATGAAGCTAGGGCAGAGATAGCTCATCAACTGGGCGAAAGCCAAAGCAATGCCTAGGATATGTAAGCACTGAGGCCTCATCAGTGGGGGGATTGCCCCAGAGGGCAGGCTACACTGAAGAGAAGGCCCCACAGAAATCTGTAGGGTGTGGGACGGACAACAGGGCCTCCCTGCGCCCTGTAGTGGCCTGGAAGGTTGGTATTAGGGTTACTGTCCTTGACGTAACCTGGTAAAAAGTCACTACCGCATGCATTTCTGTGGAGGGGACAGAGGTTGGTCACACATCATAATAATTAGACTGTAGTTAGACTGTAGATTAAGATCTAGAGGACTTCCTTGCCATTTTCAATAGAGGCAACATAGCAAATAGTTGCGGAGAATTTCCATTAATAGAGTCGCTTCAGTAAAATGTTTACTTCAACTATGTGGTTTCATATTTATAACATGACTTGGTCAGTGTTTTTGGGCCCAATGTTAGTAATGCAATAATTAAATTTGAACAAATGCTTGTAAGGAGAGAGATCATGCCAAGAGCATGACCTGGTCTGGAGTATTCCTCTGAGGTAATTAACTGAATGTTGCACTCCAAATATACGAACTGGTAGATACTTAGCTATGCTAATTTGGGATGGTGTCCTGCAGGGTCTTTGCATGGAAAGGTCCATGTAGTCATTAAAGCCCTCGAATCACACACTCAGTTTCTGCTCTGAGGCTACCCAACCCGCATTGCACTTAGGCCATCTTGACTTCCTCTGTATTATCAACCATCGTGTCCTCTCTCACACCACTGCACACAGCTTTCTCTCTCTTTCTGTCCTTCCCAAGAACAGCTGGGCAGGGACTTGGGGAAAGACTCAGGCAGGAAGAGCTGGGATGGAAGAACCTGCCTTAAGATGAGTGGCCTGGATGTCGTGCAGTGAACCCAGCAGCATGGTGATGAAAGCACTGCAGCAGCCCTACTGGAGAGGGTGTGGGTGGCCCTACTCAATCTTGTAGAACATCTCCAGATGGTACTCTGGAGAACATCCAGGATACCGTCCTGGGTGGGAACTGTGGACTTCTTTTTAACTGCTTTGTGGACCATCTTCTTGCTAGGTCTGACTTTTCTTTCAAGAACTTCACAAGTTAAAGGGGCTCTTTCAAGGGTACTTATTACACACTCTTCCACTGTTGTCTAGAGGAGGTCTGGACAACACCATCTGCTAAGTGGTTAAAATGGCAAACCCATTATAATCATACCCATATAGATGGAACGTGTTCCTATATGCTCATATGTCAGTTAAGGAGCTGATGCCTGGAGAAGAAGGAGGTTTCCAAAGAAGGAAAATACACTTGCAGAGTTTTTCCTAAACAAATACGATTTGTTGTATCACATAAGATCAACTACCAACACTGTCCCTATATATACCTACTCAGAGGTACATCCTACAGAGTTCAATGAGGCTTACTCCCAGATTAACAGTGTAAGACTGTGGTCTATTTTAGTTGAATTTCTGCCCTGTTGAACTCATTGCGACAATTAGTCATGACTTGATTTCAGTCCCAGTCATTTCAATGGGAAATAAGTTTAATTCACTTAGTCTGGAACCAGCCCAACATGCTTAGTAAACACTGATATTTAAACAAAAATGCTTCAGTGTATATGACAGCCTGTAAAGATACAGACTATATTTGTTCTTATCACCATCTGTTTAGAGAACAAGATGGAAAGATGCGACAAAATGTGGTTCATACATTAATACCTTTTCCCCATCAAGTGGAATTTACCCCAGATTCCTGTAGTTCATGGAGAAACACTGCAGGGATATTTACCAGGTGCTGGGCTGTTGATGGAGAATGAGCCAACCAGCATAAAGGGCAGCAGACAAGTTTTGGAACTACCCAGGATTTACACCTTTGACATTGTGGTAAACTCTACCTGGACACCTCACATCAGAGGTCTTACTCTGAGTGATACCCTGAAGGGAGACCCAGAGAGTAATCTCGGTGGTGGCCCCCTGATTCTGGAATGATCTCTCCACAAGGCTCCCACCCATGCCATTTCTATTTTCCTTTGGGTACCAAGTGAACACTGCCTTCTTATCCAAGGCATGCAATGCATTAATGGCATATTGGGGGAATGCTATTTCGTTTATTACATTTCTATACTGCACAGTAGTGGAAATCTTCTATTATTT